TTGTTGGAAGCCGGCAGGAACTTGCGAGGCTTGCTTAATGACCCATGATCCATGCTTAACAACAGCAACAGGACTGCAGGAATTGCGGTCGCTAAGCGATGCGGTCGTGTGACATTGCATTTTATGACCGCATCGCTTAACGGCCGAAATTCAGGCCCCAATTGCTGTCATAACTGTGAGTCCAACTGAGCAGTGGAATTAATTTTTTAAATAGACCTGTATGGGGTTGTGTTGCTACTATATATGCGGTGAAATGAGGCTCAGAGTCCAATGAAACTGAATCACTTTGGGGTATACGTTGAGGTTGCCACATCTTTGAGCATTTCATAAATGCAGCAGCTTGAGAATCACTACTATGGGGAGGAGTAGGCTGGAGTGAGCTGAACTCCAACCTTCTGCTAACTGGGAGATGTTAAATATAACAAAACAATTTTTAAAAAGAAGGAAATGTAACATTCCCACCAATAGTATTCTGCAGCAGGTGCCCATGTACAACTTGGAGTTGTCTGAAGTTTACTGTGGGATTCATATTTCAGTTCCTCGTTTGTGATTGTCAGAGGCTGGAGAATCTCTCCAAGTGTTGGTGAACTACAACTTCACTATCCTCTGCTGTTGGCCCTGCTTCCCAGGGATGCTGGTTCAGGAACAACTGGAGGACCATAGACTCTTCTAGAGCATCCTTGGACTCTTTCCTATTTAATTATCCTAAAATGGCTGCTTTGATTGGAAATAATTATTTCCTTTGAGGAGAGTGATGCCTACACCTAGAGATACGTGAGATGGAGTAATCCATGGCTTATTTGGGATACTGAATTATTAAACATTAGGCCTTTATCAACTGAGCTTTGCTTTGAACACTTCTGCAAATAAGGAACTGTAGCAGGTAGATGTTCCAGATATTGCTGAAGAACAACTCCTAGTAACTCCCACCATTGGTTAAATTTGATAAGGTGGTTGGGAAATGTAAATCTAGGATGCTACAAGCTGTCTCTGAACTAGAGTGGCAAGTGACAACACACCACTGTCTGAGTTCCTATAACTTGATAACTGAGCTAATTGTTGGGCTGGGTTTGCATCGCACACACTTAACAAAAAGGCCAAGCTGCATTCACACAACACGCTGATCTTGGTTTATTTTAACCTTGATTAGAGTTTTTGCACATTGCCAAATCCTGCCCATTTGGTTAGTTTATGATTCAGTGCAATGTATCAAGCCCTAAAATGGATTTGTTTAGTTAAGCTTGTTCAAATTCTGTCTTGTATATCCATTTATCCTGGTCCGGGTCAGTGTCTGGCGTTCAGGAAGCCTTCCACCCAAAGGCCATGTTACTAAAATGTTATGCTGGGTAACATTTCTCTGGGAATTTATAGGCAGTTTGAAACTGAAGGCGGATGTTGAAAGGTGTAGGTTTGTTTATTAGTAACACACTCTGAGGATTACTGATAGCAGGAAGTAATTTCTCTTTTCTCTCCTACCACCACTGCTGTGGTTTTTTAAAACATATATTTAAAAAAAAATACAGTAGAGATAAGCAAAGTAAGAGCTGATGGCAATTACAAAATCAGGAAGGATGAACACAAAGGAGCTACTTTGAACTTGCATCAGATGGGTGCCCCAAATCAGGATGATCTACACTGGGCCGTCCTTTAGATGTGGTTGAGCTACAACTGCTAACATCTCTCAACATTGGTGTCACATTCAGCAAGATCTGGAGAGCCTGGTTGGTCTACACTTACTCTACACTGAAGCTTTGAGAGTAGAATCTTCCCCATTTTTACCTAGAGGAGCCGGATCGAAGCTAAACCCTTTGTATGCAAAACATATCCTTTGCAATGGAGGTAGAGTTTCTCTTCACATCATGTCTTATCCATGGGTAACTTAAACCAATCCAATTTTCTGAGCTCACACAATACACTGAATCATAAACTAATTACATCGGCCTAATTTGTTTTTTGAAAAAAGAAGCTAAAATGTGGTTTGAACATCGCTGGTCCTACAAGCTTGGTTTTCCGATGTAGTAGCAAGGAAAAGAAATTGATCAAGAAGAAACAGGAGTTATGTAGTTTTCTCCAGAAATACTTTATAGGAGAATCAACATGGGATGACAATGAATTTCAATAAACCTAGGAAAAAAGCCAGTTGGCATGAAAGAAAATGGGTTTGACAGAACGCTAACACATAAAATCAGCATAGCCCTCCTGGATTACATCAAGGCGTAATTCACCCTAGTTCTGCATTTTGTTTTGGGCTGTGGCTAACCTGATGCCTCTGGAGTTCTTGTAGACAGACATGGAAGCAGAACTTCTGTGTCCCCTATAGACGTTTGAAGGCATGCTGACCCCAACCTGGAGGGAATAGTTGTCAAGACCAAGGGTCTTTGATAAATGTGTCCTCGATGAGTTTATCCAATCCCCTCTTAAAGCCATCTGACTTATGGTGATTGCCATGTCTTGTAGTAATGAATTCTACAACTTAATAATGCACTGTGTGGAAAGGTGCTTTGTGCAAAAATTCCAAACTAAAGAATCCCATTATTTCCTTTTCTCATCAGGAACGGGTGTGAGCCCCTTGATACTTTTAATTGTCCCTTTCTGTACTTACTCCAGCCCTACTGCATCCTTTTTCAAAGGTGGTAACAAGCACTGCATCCAGTGCTCCAGATTTCAGATGTACGATATCTTTCTATGAGGATCTTATAATGTTGGCAGTTTTATTTTTAACCCCTTTCTGTTTCCTAATAATTTATTAGCATGGAATGTTCACAGCTGGTTCACACCAAAATATTGTCTTCACTAATTGTCCACTGTGACCCCCAGATCTTTTTCCTGGTTAGTTATAGACAGCTCAGTATTTATGCGAAATTGGGAGGTTTTCCCCAATGTGCATCATTTTACATTTACTTAAATTGAAGTGCATTCCCATTTGGCTGGCCATTCACACAGTTTAGCAAGAGATCATTCTGGAGCTTTTCACAATCACCTTTTGGTTTTTACTCTTCTGAATAGCTTAGTGTTTTCCACAAACGTGGTCAGCTTTCTGATTGTTCCTAAAACAGGATCATTTAAACCACTAATCCCAACAAAGTTTCTTAGGCACCCCACTTATTACTCCATTCCATTGAGAAAATTCCCCTTTTATTCCTACTTTTTGTTTTCTGTTTTTTTTTTTTAATCAGTTAGCAATCTGTAAAAACAGGGTTCCTCCACCTCAGCAACTTTAAGATGGATGGACTTCAACTCCCAGAGTTCCCCAGCCAGCATGGCTGGCTG